ATATATATACATATACACACACACACACACATATATATATATATATATATATATATATACACACATATACACACACACACATATATATATACATATACACACACACACACACACACACATATATATACATATACACACACACACACACATATATATATATATATATCTGTGTGTGTGTGTGTGTGTGTAAACAAATGTTTTATTTGAATGATTTTTAAAAGCGAAAAATAAACATTTATGTGTAACAACAGTAATCAGAAATGAAATTTAAACCTAGTCAAAGTACAACTTTATTTGTGGTTTTAGGGCGAGGCATCGTATGACACAAAAAAGAAGAAAAAAAAGTAAACAGCACAAATAAATGAAAGATAGAAAGATATTAACTGTTTCGTTTCCAAAAAAAAAAAAGACACGTGATTGTTTATCAACCACACTGTGGCGCAGGAGAGCAAGCGAGCGCATGCGCACTGTGCTCGGCCGGACTCTCCGCTCCTCCTCCTCGCGCAGCTGCTGCTACACCGGTCTGCAGACATGGCGAACGTCGCAGACACTAAACTCTACGACATCCTCGGAGTATCTCCGTCAGCCACCGAGAACGAGCTCAAAAAGGTAGAGACGGTGCTTTCCGCCTCGCGCGTCGTGTTGTAACGAAACCAAAGAAGCGCGTGACGGGGGACGCTGCATGTTGGGGATCCACTGGTGTGTTTTGCAGGTTGCCCGCTGCCTGGATCCTCCAGTGTGGCCTTTCTTCGGGTCTGGAAATGATTTAGGGGAGGATTTGAAAGATACCTAGTCAGATATGTAGTTTGTTTACTATTTGTATTGCTGTACGTGTCCTTCGGCTGAGAGCATCCGCCAGGTGCTGCAGTCCAAGAGCATTACAGTGGAAGGAGATGCTTAGCTTCCCAGCTGCTGTGCTAAACCTGAGCTCGTGGCTGATATGCAACGAGTCAGAGATGGTTCATGCAAGGTCTTGTTTGAGGTATTTCCTCGATGTGAATCCTCATATCTGTGCTCAGTCCTTTGTTAGAAGGTGACCAGGCTCTGGCCTTGATGCTCAAGTTGTCGGAGTGTTATGTTGGCGTGTTGTTGTTTGATTGTGTGCACACAAAGGATTTCAGAAAGCACAGTCAGACCCAAAATAACGTGGGGTATGTGGAGTTATCACACAATAGATGCATGAAAGAACTGGCAATGTGAATTCACAGCCATAAGGTCCGAGAAGAGGCACAATCCATGTAATGTGCTTAGTGCAAGAAAAATAACCTGATAGGGTTGCCTTCAAGCATGGCTCAGAAATCAGCTTCCTTTGATCAGTCAGATTCTCTTCGCCTCAGTACTCACAATTGGGCTTTTCAATGACTTTAGACATTAGTTTAATATGTAGTCACAGATTAGGAATTGGTAAAATTGTAAAGGTTGTTGGCAAGAAATTTTTATTTTTGTGCGTAGTGTAGAAGTCAATGGCTACCGTCAGCTCGACGGTGAGTAAATGATGACAGAATTTTTGGGTGAACAATCCCTTTTAACATGAAATCAAAATTGATCTTATTTACTTATAATGCCAAATTTACACTGCAAAGGTGGCATAGATGTGCTTCTGAAGTGGCATTTACTGCTTTAATGCTGTTCAGAGGTGGCATAAATGCATTTACACAGCAAAAACAGTATTCTTTGATGCAATGGGCTAAGGTTGGTCGGAACAGGTATAATTTAGTCTGACTTTTATACAGCATTACACAATTTTGAGCAGGCACAGAGCAGCCTTAACTCTGCTGTGTAAAGATGCCTTTATTGTGTATGATTTATCTGTACACATTATTCCAAATGAAAAGAAACCTGTTGTGAGATGAAAAATGTTCTTTAAACAATTTTGAAACTTTCTTTTTAAATACCTGATAGAGTGTCTTTGGAAGATCTGTACAATGGAAAAACAACCAAACTACAGCTAAGCAAGAACGTACTCTGCAGTGCCTGCAGTGGGTGAGTGTGTGAGCAGGATTTATACCACATCTTTGAGGGTTATAACAATTAAGTACAGTTCCTATAGATATTAAAGGGGTCATATGATGTTGCTAAAAAGAACATTATTTGGTGTAATGAAATGTTTATGCGATTTAAGGTTAAAAAACACATTATTTTCTACATACTGTACATTATTGTTTTTCCTCTATGCCCCGCCTTTCTGAAACGCGTCTATTTTTACAAAGCTCATCGTTCTACAAAAGCGAGGTGTGCTGTGATTGGCCAGCTATCCAGTGCGTTATGATTGGCTGAATACCTCAAGCGTGTGACGGAAATGTTATGCCACTTATCATACTGTGATGCCCTGTCCGGCTGGAGCGATGATTCAAAAACATGAAAACCTATTATAAATGAGGCATTCGTTGCATCCAGTGAGGACATAATTATGGATTATAATGACTTATACTGTCTTTTTACGCGTTGCGTTGCATCACGCCGCGTAAACATAAAACCATGTCTGCATTTGTGATCAGAGAAATGACAAACAACAAGCACTACTCTACACTGCCCAAAAAACTCGCTTTAAATATAAAAAATATAAAATATAAAAACTCTTAAAATATAAAAAACGTACTTACAGTCTGTGAGTCAGAACAGCCGGCATTGTAGTCTACTCTCCCAGGATCAGGAAACAGTCCTCCATAAAATGTGGGTTGAAGTGTTCTGGAACAGTGTTGTAAATACAACTTAACCACTGATTTCTAGTCGCGTCCATTTTTGGAAGGCCAAACAAAGTAGTTTAGCTTTCACAACGAAACACAGCGTCACACACGGTGGCCTTAAATGAGCAGAGGCCGGGGGATAAAGTGAGGAACGGCCGGAGGGCTAGAGTGAGCAGAGGCCGGGGGATAAAGTGAGGAACGGCCGGAGGGCTAGAGTGAGCAGAGGCCGGGGGATAAAGTGAGGAACGGCCAGAGGGCTAGAATGAGCAGAGGCGGCGCGGCAGGCGGATTCGAGCGTCCGGAGGGCTTGCGGCAACCACATGGGCGGCGTTATGCAAATCTTCCCACATCGTGACGTAGACATGTGGGGGCGTGTTAGAACGAGCCGTTTTAGGTAGGCGTGGCTGACTCTTAACTTTTATAAAGAGTATCTCTTTGGATTTGAGACTTTAGTCTTTGCAACTTTACAGATCTTCTTTATGCACCAAGAGCTTGTAACACTCCAAAAAAAATTTTTAATCGCATCATATGACCCCTTTATGCAAAATAGCCTTTTTTTCCTAAATAAACCAAACTTTATTCCTCAGTCAAGGGGGTAAAACAGGGGCCGTGCAGAAGTGTGCCACGTGTCGGGGCCGCGGCATGCGGATCATGATCAGACAGCTGGCTCCTGGCATGGTACAGCAGATGCAGTCTGTGTGCACCGACTGCAATGGAGAGGGTGAGAATTCATTTTCATTCAGTGAACTCAATTTGTGATGGTCTGAATACAACATTTCGATGCTTGGTTGTGTTTTTAGGGGAAGTGATCCACGAGAAAGATCGCTGTAAAGAGTGTGAGGGCCGTAAAGTGTCTAAAGAGGTGAAGGTCTTGGAGGTGCATGTGGATAAAGGAATGAAACACGGACAGAAGATCACATTCAGTGGAGAGGCGGACCAGTCACCCAACACAGAGCCTGGAGACATTATACTGGTGCTGCAGGAGAAAGATCATGAGGTAGCGCACACACACACAATGAGCAGTGTAGAGTCAATAGTAGGACTCTAATCAACAACTATGTTGATTATCTGTCAATGTATTGGTTATTTTGCCCAATGTTCTTCCATAGATAATGTGCACACTGAAATCTATCAATATATTTTATAGTAATCTGTACAAAAATGGTCTAAAATATAAAGGTTAGAATAAAATGTATACATATGTATTATTATTATTAATAATTTATTATTTGTAATTTAAATTTGAATATATAAAGTATTTGTAATTTTGAAAATGTTTTGATATTTTTAATAATCCGAAATAATGTGAAATGATTAAAATTACTATTCAAAAAAGCGTCATTACTTGTGTTGCATACAGGATTTCAAGTTTCAGTTCTAATTCATTCAATTTATAATTAATTTACTTTCAAGAATATTATTTTGATAAATGGGTGAATTTTTGGGTGAACGATCCCTTAAAGTACATTAAAGCAAGCAGCATTTAATCACTTTCAGGCAGTTAAGATGTGCTGTCTTGCAGAATGAAAATGTTTGCATTATAAGAATAATAACATTAAAATGTGTTTTTTTTTTTTCTTTTCTTTTAAAGCTCAAATACCTATGATGTCTGTGTTTACAGGAGTTTCGTCGTGATGGAAACGATCTGCACATGTCCCACAGGATTGGTCTGGTGGAGGCGCTGTGCGGATTTCAGTTCATGCTCACGCACCTTGACGGACGACATCTCGTCATCAAATATCCCCCTGGCAAAGTCATAGAGCCAGGTAAGCATAATGGTTTGTCAATGTTCTGTTCATGTTTTTGTAGAATATGCTGTAGGAAATGTTGTGTTCTTGTTGTCAGGTTCTATGAGGGTCATCCGAGGGGAAGGAATGCCTCAATACAGAAACCCCTTTGAGAAAGGAGATCTGTACATCAAGTTTGACGTCAAGTTTCCTGAGAATGGCTGGATCAGCACAGAGAAACTAACGGTGAGTTTTCAACAATGTTGTTATTGTTAACTAAAATTATGAAAAATTTTCTAAAAGCTGAAATAAAATATTAATATTAAATTTAAAAAGAACTTATCATTTTAAGTTGGAGTGCTGAAATTACTAAAACCAAAACTAATTAAAGGGGTCATATGATGCGATTAAAATTTTTCCTTTCTCTTTGGAGTGTTACAAGCTCTTGCTGCATAAAGAAGATCTGTAAAGTTGCAAAGACTCAAATCTTAAATCCAAAGCCACGCCTACCTAAAACGGCTCATTCTAACACGCCCCCACATGTCTACGTCACGATGTGGGAAGATTTGCATAACACCGCCCAAATGTTCACACAAAGAAAAAAGGCGTAACTTTTATTCTTGCTGTAGTATTGTTGCCGCGGCCGCCATGTTATGAAGATGCTGTGTTTCATTGTGAAAGCGAAACTACTTTGTTTGGTCTTCCAAAAGAGGACACGACTAGAAATCAGTGGTTAAGTTGTATTTACAACACTGTTCCAGAACAGTTCAACCCAAATAGTCAGATGTGTGCAGCGCATTTTATGGAGGACTGTTTCCTGATCCTGGTAGAGTAGACTACAATGCCGGCTGTTCTGACTCACAGACTGTAAGTACGTTTTAATTTAAAGGATTTGCCACTGATGATTCAAACGCGAGTTTTGGGCAGTGTAGAGTAGAGCTTATTGTTTGTCATTTCTCCGATCACAAATGCAGACATGGTTTTATGTTTACGCGGCGCGATGCAACGCAGCGCGTAAAAAGACATTATAAAAAGTTGTTATAATCCGTAATTATGTGCCCACTGGATGCAACAAATGCCTCGTTTATAATGGGTTTTAATGTTTTTGTCTCTTCGCTCCGGCCAGACAGGGCATCATCACAATATGGTAGGGGGCATAACATTTCCGTCACACGCTTGAGGTATTCAGCCAATCATAACGCACTGGATAGCTGGCCAATCACAGCACACCTCGCTTTTCAGACCGATGAGCTTTGTAAAAATCGACATGTTTCAGAAAGGCGGGGCATAGAGGAGAAACAATAATGTACAGTATGTGGAAAATAATGTGTTTTTTAACCTTAAACCGCATAAACACATTTCATTACACCAAATAATGTTCTTTTTTAGCAACATCATATGACCCCTTTAAAAGCTAAATAGAAATATTTAAAAACTAATTTACTAAATTTAAATTAAAACCGAAAATGCAAAAAATAAACGCTAATTCAAAATGTTAATAGTATTTAATAATATTACTTTTAATAGTATTAAGAGTAATAGTTTATAAATAATTATTTTTAAAAAACACTGGTTTTCAAAAAACTATATAATAAAAACTATATGGACACATAAAAAAATAAATTTAAAGTGAAAAAAAGAAAATGAAAAATATAAAAATGAAAACTAATACAAACTATAATAGTACCTAGATGATACTAAAATAACACTTGAGTGTACCTGACGAGGTGCCCATTTCTTGTGTGTTTGTTCACGCAGGAGTTGGAGGATCTGTTGCCGTCGCGTACAGAGGTTGCTGTCATCTCAGCTGATGCGGAGGAAGTTGATCTGCAGGACTTTGACATCAGCCAGGGATCATCTGGTGGTAACCGCCGTGAAGCATACAACGACAGCTCCGACGAAGAAGGTGGTCCGCATGGTCCGGGGGTGCAGTGCGCCCACCAGTAGTCCCAGAATTCTTTGCAAGTTTTTTGGGGAAGTATTACAATTCCCTTTTGTCGGACAGATTCAATCTCCGCCCTCCACGTTCTTCATATAGTGAACCGAACACACACACTTGCAGTATATATAGACATACACTTACATTTATTTACTGCAATCTTACCTACAAATACACTCATTCATGCACTGTTTTAAATAAAAGACAAGCATAACTAAAGGCAAAGCAAAATAATTTAATTTATTCATTACTACATTTCCATTGTAGACTTTCACAGTATATATGCTCTCTGAATATATAAATATCTGTCTGTGGGGAGACCGAATGTGTTGTTTAAGTTATAATTAACACGCACGCACAAAGTTGTTAAAGACTGAGGCATTGTGGAGCTTCCTGGAGTTCAATAAAATGTTCAAACGCGATTCATTATATACTTGCCAGTTATTTAGGCACTGTCAGTCATCTTGTACTGTTGTGCTGGTTTATATTCAATGGCAGGACAGAATAGCATGCATGTGGGTGACACACTCTCTACTGAGATTAATACAAAGCAAACCAAACCCAGAAGTGTTTTAATGTGCTCGGACAGATTCAATCTCCGCCCTCCACGTTCTTCATATAGTGAACCGAACACACACACTTGCAGTATATATAGACATACACTTACATTTATTTACTGCAATCTTACCTACAAATACACTCATTCATGCACTGTTTTAAATAAAAGACAAGCATAACTAAAGGCAAAGCAAAATAATTTAATTTATTCATTACTACATTTCCATTGTAGACTTTCACAGTATATATGCTCTCTGAATATATAAATATCTGTCTGTGGGGAGACCGAATGTGTTGTTTAAGTTATAATTAACACGCACGCACAAAGTTGTTAAAGACTGAGGCATTGTGGAGCTTCCTGGAGTTCAATAAAATGTTCAAACGCGATTCATTATATACTTGCCAGTTATTTAGGCACTGTCAGTCATCTTGTACTGTTGTGCTGGTTTATATTCAATGGCAGGACAGAAAAGCATGCATGTGGGTGACACACTCTCTACTGAGATTAATACAAAGCAAACCAAACCCAGAAGTGTTTTAATGTGCTTTACTGTCTATGATAAAGGTATATGAGTCATGCAACTTATTATTTGCCAAAGAAACACCACAGTCTTCTTAAAAGATCAGCAGCCAATGTGTGCATGCATTGTAAGCACTGTTATAAATCTATAGGGGGCGGCATTTATCATTGGCAACTAGGGAAGTGTTTAAAACGCGAATACAAGTTGCTATCATTCAAACACCGCTACATTTGTGCTCATACATCAATAAAGTGGATGAATGTTTTGACTGCGTGCTGTATATTTGTAGAAATGGGGTTGAGTACGCACTAGCGTCCTTCTTCAGTTTCTGTCATGCGTTGAGCTGTGGGCGCAAGGAGCTCTTTAAACCCAGCCGTATTTCTATAAAAACAAAACATTGTTAGACGAGTGCAACTTTCTTTCTTTTCTTTTTGGAAAGACCCTTATTTAGTTTCAACACAAATGGAGAAATTTAGCAGATTGTTGACGCTGCTCTTTTTCAATCACCACAGGTTGCTTCATACAGAAGCCGATTTCTGTCATGTTAAAAATTATGCTTTGCTAAATCAAATTATGGCATAAAAGGTCAAAATTGTGAGATACCAAGTAATAATTATGATATAAAGAAAAATCGTATAAAATATTTTTGTGCATTTCGATTGATGACTTTTTATCTCATTATGACAGGTCGTTTTGACCGTTTATCTCATAAATATGATCATTTATATATGTGATAAATATGAATATAAATATGATTATATGATAATTAGTATATCAATTTCCACTTTATCTTATAATTTTGATTTATACTTTTGACTTTTTATCTCATAATTTCAACTTTTGACTTCCTGTCACTTTCAACTTAATTTTTGACAATTTATCTCATAATTATGATTTGTCAATTTTGACTTGTCAATTTAACATCTTATGTCTTTCAACTTTTATCATAATTTTGACTTGGTATGTAAATTATGACTTTTATGTCATAATTATGATTTACCAAAGCAAAATGGGTTTCCATAGATTTCAAGCACCAAAATGAGCCACAAAAACACACATACGACTTAGCGTATGGCATCAGGATGAATAAATGATGACGGAATTGAAATTTTAGGGTGAAGTACTCCTTTAAATGACATGAAACACCTGGTGATCACTGTCAGAATGAACTAGCCTAGCATAAGCGTGTATACGTTACCTCTCCCGTCTGGTCTGGAGAATGCAGGAGCGTTCTCTCCTCATCTGCTGGAGTTTCTCTCTTACTAAAGTTTTCTGTTGTTGCTCGTCCTCCTAGAACATTCGATCAACATTTACATCATGTCCACATAGAGGTCTCTGAAAGTATGAGGGTGTGTACCTGTCGTAGTGTGTCGGTCAGATGTCTGAGTGTGTCTTCCTGTGTCAGACCCAACAGATCTTCATCTGCCTTCCGACTCTGGACGATAGCCAGTCGCTCTTGAACCTGAACAGGTTTGAAAAAGGTCAAAGTATATGGCCTTTTTAACTAAATATTCTGCAAATAAATGCATGGAAGACCATTTCCAACAAGCATGCACTGGTAAATCGTAATGATGACATAAAAAAGTAGACATTATGAGATATTAAGTCATAATTACGATTAAAAAGTCCAAATTAATACATACTAAGTCTTTATTATAAGTGAAATTGAGATAATAGCAATTAGTCAAAATTAAGATATAGCAATTATAAAAAGTCATAATTATGAGATGAAAAGTCAGTTATGACAGGAATTTCAACGTTTTTCTCATAATTTCAGCTTTGTCATTTGCAACTTCAATTCTCAACATTTTTCGTTTCACTTCATAATTATGACTTCTCATGTCGACTTTTTGTTTTACTTTTTATGTCGTAATTGTACGTTTTTGTCAGTATTATTTAGCAAAGCATGTTTTTTTTGTGTGTGCGTGTGGCAGTGGGCTTCCATAAACAAACCACACAGAAATGTCATGCAGCATGAGTTGGCTCACTCTGAGTAGTTGTCTGTCTCGGTCTCGCTGCCAGCGTCGCTCTGCTCTCCTCTGGATGTCCACTAGACAGCGCATCATTGCCTCCCGCTCACCTGCTCTCTCACAGATCTCATCGTTGCTCAGCTCCTGAAGCGATGCCTCCATCTCATGGGTCTCAAATGTTTGCGAGGGTTGCGTGTCTGGGAAATGGACACTTGCTGGTGCTGTGTTAGTATCTGTTGTGTCAGTGTTTTGTAGCAGCCTTGGAGCAGTGGGTGGTGTTTGGTCGGGCTGTTGGGTGTCACTGAATGTGAACTCTCCATCTCTTATGTCCTCCTGTTGCTGCCCAGCCTGGAGAATGAGAATCACATTTGTTGTATAATTATTGTGAAAGGATTTTTCATTTATTCATTCATTTAGTTCCAGCTTTAAATTTTGGGTTTGGGCAGGGCGCTATAGAACTGACAATTTTTTATTTTAATTTTTTTTTTTTATTATTATTATTATAACTTACAGAATCCCTTTGGGGGAACTTCAGGGGGCTTTTAAAAGAAAATACTAATATAAATATTTTTACAAACATATAATGAAATTGATATCTTTTGAAAGTTGAGTGCTTTATTAGCATCTCGGGCACTTCAAGTACATATTTTATATCACAGGAATTCAGACAACAAAAAAGGTTGAGAACCTCTGATCTGATATTATTTATATTATTTATGGTATTTTTTATTTTAATAATTATTATAACTATTATAGAACTCTTAGTGGAAACTTCAGTGGGGCTGTGAGATTGTGATAAGCATGCAAATAAAATAAAATAAGAAAATACTATTTTATAAAAAGAAATACGAATATAAATATCTCACAAAGTAGTTCATATCTTTTGAAAGTTCAGTGCATTATTATCATCTCGGAGGAACATCAAGTATTTTATATTACAGAAGTTCAGATAACCAAAAAAGTTATCTGAAAAAGGTTGAGTATACCTCTGATCTAACAATTCCTAATCTCAACATATTATATATTACAAATAGTATGCAAATAGCAGAGAACACAGAGACACTTTATTATGTTGTCAAAAGGGAAGCTAGAGCTGGATAATTTGAAGTGGTTGTCTTACTGTGATGAAGCCTGAACGGTCATCTTGGATCTGTGCCTTTCCTTTCACATTATCTATGTGATCTGAATGCATTTCTTCATATTGTTCACTTGGCTGCAGTGAGACGGAGCTTATGTTCTCCTGCTGTGTGTAAATGTTCACAATCCTGTCACAGTTGTTCACAGTTGTGCCAGGAACATGTGTGTTATCAGCTGTATCCTCCTGCATTACAATAGAGATGGCCTCTACTTCCTGAGCCGAGGTCACTTCCTGTAGAATTAAGCCATTTTATGAATGAATGAACAATTTGAGCAGATTTAAGATAGAAGGAGTGCATATGTTTGTGTGTATGTACCTGGATGTAATTCTTTGCGTGGGCTGGTTTGCTCCAGGCCAGTGTGATCAGAGAGTTTTGTTTTTCCACTGAGATCTCCTGAGGGTCTCCTCTGCTCTTAATGTCTCCCTCTCTTCTCTCTTTGTCTCTGTCCCTCGTCTCCATCATGCTCTCTTCATCTCTTGGGTCTCTGACACACAGGATCTCTAAATATGGAGTATCTTCTGGATCTAAAGCCATGCCACAGCCTTCAAACACAAAATAAATGCATTCATCACAAAATACTGTATTAAGCAGCACAACTGTTTTCAACATTAACAGTAATAAGAACTGTTTCTTGAGCAGCAAATCAGCATATTAGAATGATTTCTGAAGGATCATGTGACACTGAAGACTGGAGTAATGATGCTGAAAATTCAGCTTTGCATCACAGGAATAAATTACATTTTAATATATATATTTAAAATAGAAAACGGTTATTTTAAATTGTGATAATATTTCACATTATTACTGTTTTCTCAATAAATGCAGCCTTGGCAAGCATTAGAGACTTCTTTCAAAATCCGACCGACCCCAAAGTTTTGAAGGGCTGTGTACATGCATATATGATTAATCTTATAGTTTTAATGTTAAAACTTTCTCGTATCCTTGTTTAATGCTTCATTGTATTAATGGTCTGGCATATGAATGTCATTCACCAGTGCAGAGTTCTTCTTTTTCACCATCTGACAGCTCTTCCTGTTCCTGTTCAGTCCTCTCTCTCTCCTAACAGAGACACAGGAAACAGTTGCTCACCTTGTATCCCTTTCAACTGAATATCTGGATAACCTCTTTAAGCGAAGGTTCCTCGTTGGTTTCTTGAACATTCTGTGTATCAAGAGCCATTTCTCACTAGATAGGGTTCTTGAGTTGGCGACAAGGTTTTCTGGATATTATGAAAGTTCTTTATGTTACACTATAGGTTCTGCAGATCATTGCATACACTTAAAAATAAAGGTTCTTTATTGGCACTGATGATTCCAGAACCTTTAACATCCATGGAACCTTTCTATTGCACAAAAGGTTCCTTATTGATTCTTTAGTTCTTTAGATTATTAAAATGTTCTTCACAGTAAAAAATTGTTCGGTTTCAGAACTGTGCACTGAAAGGTTCTTTGGGGAACCAAAAATGGTTCTTTAATGGTATCGCCTTTTTGAAACCTTTATTTTTTAGAGTGTAGTTTCTTCAGATCTCTGCATACAGTAGATTGTAGGCATCATCTGTTAACAGCAAAAGTGAAGCCTTGCTGAAGATCTAGTGCATACATGATTTTCTAAACAATCATGAAACACAAAGGATCTAATAGCTTGATTTGTGATTGATAATGTGTAAGTGTGGAAGTAATTTGTCATTACAGTGTGAGCGTTCACTGCGCCGGTGCCTCTGCTGGCGTGCGCTGGTCCACGTGACTGCAAAACTTCATGCAGGTTGTGAAAACTGGGTCTGTGAAGTTCACTCTCATATTTGCGAAGCAAAGTCCAAAGACCCTCAGGGTCCTAAGAAGTGAAAGAGACATTGACACATTATTACACGGCTCAGTGGAATACTTGATTCTGATTGGTCAGTCGCGACATTCCGAGGTATGTTATCCCTCGATAACAACCGGTAAAAGCTAATAACACAGGCTCATCTGGGTAACAGCAGTCAGCGCTGTACTCTTGCTTGAACAATTTTTTCTTGGTGGAAGCTTTGCGTTTTTACTTATGTGGCAAGTAACCGTGTAAGCGGGATAATGTACATCCAGCCGGTTGTTATCTCAGAATAAACCCCTTCAGGCTGATACAAGACTGATCCTGATCACCCTGTCGGGGTTTATTCTGAGATAACAAGCGGCTGGATGTACATTATACCTTACATAAACACCATCTGCTCTGCACACTGTCAAGATGCATTCAGAATGTTTGGTTTACTTACTACTTTGCTTTTCATATTCTTTAACTTTATTATTATATTTCATTTTCTATTTTAGCTTAGTTTAAATTTGACAAATGCACACTTAATCTTTTATGATTACTACAGTATATACTATGGTTCTGTTCAAAATGCAATACTTGCATACTGATTACTGCACAGTACAGTATATGCTGTATATGCTGAGATTCACCAAATCTGGCAGAGAGTTTAAAACAGTCCAGGCCTCATCATCCTGTGCTTGTGTCAGCTGGGTCAGCAAATGAGTGGCACATTCCCCCCATGAGACACCTATCCCAGAACACCCTGGGGCGAATGGACTAGTATAAGAACCATGTGCTTCCTGTAGAGAGGCTTTAATTTGCTGTAGGCTCCACACACAGCTCTGATCCACCGCGTTTCCATGAACCACATCTGAAAGACGTATACACAATTTAATGAAAACCAGAGGCATATCTTACAGCTGATGTGCTTCTAATACTAAGTTACTAGTCATTTCGGCTAGTTCACCCAAAACATATTAATTTGGAACAACATATCACTTTTGTAGTGGTGTTTGTGTTTTTATATGTAGTTGATGTTTTTAACTGTTTTTCTGAATGTTTCCCTCGAGGTCACTCGGGGAAAGCCTGTGTATGATCTCCACCAATCGTTTCCTTTCCTGCTCCTGACACAGAACCAAAAACTGCAGCACAGCCTGATGGGTAAAAAAAACAAACAATCAATTATAAAACTACATAACACAAGGAAAATATTTCAGCCTTAAAGTCATGTTGGAATTATTTTATATTACAAGAAAATCGCATATGAATCTATGTATTTATTTTACTGTTCATGAAGCCGGTTTATGAGGAGACCAAATGAATTTCCCATGTTTTTCCTAAATTTCCCATTATTCTTTGTGGGAGCATAAGAAGGATACAATATACAGTATTTAGGGTCAGTACATTTTTTTAAGTATTTTTTTTTTATAAAAAAAAAATTCATATAAACTAAATATTTTATTCAGCAAGGATGCAGTAAATTGATCAAAATTGACAGTAAAGAGATTTATAATGTTACAAATGATTTATATTTCAAATAAATGCTGTTCTTTTGAACTTTCTTTTCATCATATATTCCTGAAGAAAAATGTATTATGGTTTCCACAAAAATATTAAACTGTTGAATTAATAAGAAATGCTTCTTAACTTAAACTCTGTGGACCCAGATATGGGTCCAAAACAACAAAGTGTTTCTTGAGCATCAAATCAGCATATTAGAATGATTTCTGAAGGATCATGTGACACTGAAGACTGGAGTAATGATGCTGAAAATACAGCTTTACATCACAGAAATAAATTACATTTTAAAATATATAGAAAACAATTATTTTAAATTGTAATACTACTCACATTATTACTATTTTTACTATATTTTTAATCAAATAAAAAGTCTCTTATGCCTTAGTGAGCACCAAACATTTTCATTTAATTCCAGCCCAAATCCCTTGAACTTATAACACAACATACTGTAACTTCTGAACTCATGAATAGGAATTTGGAGGACTTGAAGGCAGCAAATGTCATGTATCTGTGCACACAGTACCTGTTGTGCGCAATTTCCTGTTTTCCAGCCCTGCTGTTTTTTAGCAGTGGGATCCACATTTTCCTGAATCCAGATCCTGGTGAGATCCTGACTGACTGAACCTCTCATATAAGGCCTAGAGCACACAGAGATGGTTTGGATTCAAGCTTGCAGACTTCGGAGTGAAAATAGGTGGATGTGTCAGCGTGTAATGTTTCAAATACGGATGATGTGTCCACTTCCCATATTTAACACGCTCACCATCTGTCCCAGTGCTGTCTGGCGACCAGCAGTGCCGTGTAGGACTGATTCTCTCTCTCGGCTCTCCGCAGAGCAACACACATACTGAGATATATAACATGCAGAGCTTCCTGTCCCAATCTACAGGAGCAATAAATCACAACACAACATCTGCAACCATTAGCATAATATGTTTAATATTACAGATCGATATTGACATTAAAAGGTCATGCTTAACTATGTCAGTATATGAATGTCAAAGTTCTAGTTATGCATGCTTATATATTATGTGCTGAAGGGAAGACGTATTTTTGTAGGCCACAATCTGTAAACGAGTTGTGTCTTAGCACATCGCAAAGGTTTTTAGAATGGATTTTTACTTAAAACACCCGAATTAAGGTCTGTGGTCAACACAAGCTCAAGATACTTTCACATTTTATTCTACGACATAAAAATACACCAGTAACAGTCATCAAATGTCTGGCCTAAATCGACTTTATCTGAGATATATGAGACCTACTGATGCTTTAAGCCAATCACGTGCATTTATGAGAATTCATCAACTGATGAACACAATAGAATGACCTGTTCATGAGCGCGCTGATCGATTCCTTCTCATCTTGATAATGTGAGTCCAGCTCCGACAGGAAGATGACAGCGGACCAGGCCTGTTCCCTCGTTTTAGATGACCAAGCCTGATCTCTAGATGTAACACTCTCAGGACAGCCTCGCAAGACCACAGAACCACAGCTCCTGCCATATTCATCAAATATAACTAATCATTTTACTTGAAGCCTTCATATAACGGATTATAAAAGAGTGTTTTGGTAACACTACAATAAGGCCCCATTAGTTAATGATAATTTTAACATTAGTTAATGCATTAACTAACAATGAGCAAAAAATTAATTACTAATCTTTGTTAATGTTTGTTAATAAAAGTACAATTGTGTCCCTGGACCACAAAAGCAGTCTTAAGTCGCTGGGGTATATTTGTAGCAATAGCCAAAAATACATTGTATGGGTCAAAATTATTGATTTTTCTTTTATGCCAAAAATCATTAGGACATTAAGTAAAGATCATGTTCCATGAAGATATTTTGTAAATTTCCTACTGTAAATATATTAAAACTTCATTTTTGATTAGTAATATGCATTGCTAAGAACTAAATTTGGACAACTTTAAAGGCGATTTTCTCAGTATTTTGATTTTTTTTTTTTTTGCACCTTCAGATTCCAGATTTTCAAATAGTTGTATCTCAGCCAAATATTGTCCTATCCTAACAAATCATACATACATCAATGGAAAGCTTTTTTAAATTATTTTTTATTATTACATTTATTCAGCTTTCAGATGATGTATAAATCTCAATTTCGAAAAATTGACCCTTGTGACTGGTTTTGTGGTCCAGGGTCACAATTATTCATTGTTAGTTCGTATTAGCGCAAATCCATTGCATAATATTAACAGATACAGCTTTTTGGATTTTATTAATGTTTTAGTATATGCTGAAATTAACATTAAGTTTAATAAATTATTTAGAAGTCTTTTTCATCATTAGTTCATGTTAAAGAATGCAGTTAACTTATATTAATAATTAAAACTTTATTAAAGTGTTACCAGTATTTTGAATGCATCATGCCACATAATGCAAATTATAATGCATTGTATGAGCTCATGAATAATTGTAACCACAGTTATAATACGTTATAAACTTATCTATTCATTGTTACACCTTTAGAAAGTATAATTCATTGAAACACATGACAAACAACTCAAAATTTTGCAACTGCACTTACAAATGCACAAATAACTAGTAGTACCTGTAGCAACGGAGGGCCCCGGGAAGCCCACACACCTGAAGCCAGTCTCTGTGTCTGAAAGCCAGCTCTACACACACTCCTAATTCACACACACATTCTGTCTGATCCCACGCTGACATCGAGTTCCACCAGACAACGCCTGTAACGATGTGCAAAAAGATACTGTTAAACTGTTCTGAGAAAGGGAACATTTATGAACTCCATTTAGGAATATTTCTTACCATATTCATCTTGTAACATCTCTCTGTACAGTCGCTCTCTGATGACCTCATATTTGTAATACAGGAGCTGGAGGATGTCGGTAGTGCTGGGACAGATCGTGCCCGGTCGCATGACGCCGGCGTTCCTCTGAGAAAGAGACGGTAGGACACTCCACACGCCGTCAAGAACGAGTCTAAACAGAAAGCAGGATGAATATATAGTCAATTTGTTCAATGTGATTGTGAGCAGCTGAATGAAAGAGTGTGTGTAAATAACCTGGTGCAAAGTCTCTTGGTTCTGTTCTGAAAACACAAGACAATAAACTGCTCTGGATCCTGCTTCTAAAAAAAAAAAAAAAGATGCCCACATATATTTAGCAGACACCTTTCTCCAAAGTGATTAACAAATGAGTGAATGATCATGAGCTGAAATAGAGTGCAAAGCTGATTAACCAAAAGCATACAAAATAAACCATTAAAAAAAATAAACAAATTGTAAAATCAATATAAATTAATATATTAGATATGGAATCATAATTATATTGTACTATATTGTATATAATTATATTATACAGTGTTATGTGTGCTCATGTAATAGAATAGAATAGAATAATATGACTTGGTTATCTACCTGTTGTCTGGAGCTAAAGTTGATTGTTGAGGATTGTGTGTTTTGTTTATGATTGATTCTACCAGCCTTCAACATCTGGAGATCCCAGTACAGCTACAGAAATTATAAGCCGTTAATTTGCAACAATACAACGTCACAATTTATATAATATAATTTCACAATTTCACATTCACGCACCCAAAAGACCTTAAAACAAAGATAAATATCTGACAAGGCAAAGGTTCACAGTAAGAAAAAAAAAAGCCATAGAAAATGCCCTGGCAGACATCAGAGCGTTTGTTTCCAGAATCAAGTTCTCAATTCATTGTCAGATTATCATTTTTTCATTAACTGTGCCCTCCTGGTGGAATGACCTGCCCAAATCAATCCCAGCAGCTGAGTCCTTAACCATCTTCAAGAAACGACTAAAACACAGCTGTTCCACCTTTATTTGACCCTCTAATTCTAGCACTTTCTATTCTATTTTAATTCTACTTTATCTATATTTATCTTCTTTTTTCTTTAAAAAAAACAAACAAACACTAGTTTTCTATTTTATCTACTTGCTTTTCTTTGTGTGTGTATATGTGTGTGTATAATATATAAATATATATATACACCTTGCTACGTGTACTGCTTTAGGCTAATCGAGACTTGTCATTTGCACTTCTATGAGGGGAAGTCGTGGCCTAATGGTTAGAGAGGTTGTGGGTTCGAGTCTCGTACCGGCAGGGATTGTAGGTGGGGGGAGTGAATGTACAGCGCTCTCTCCCACCTTCAATACCACAACTGAGGTGCACTTGAGCAAGCACCATAAATGGCTGCCCACTGCTCCGGGTGTGTGTTCACGGTGTGTGTGTGTGTTCACTGCTGTGTGTGTGCACTTTGGATGGGATAAATGCAGAGCACTAATTCCGAGTATGGGTCACAAAAATGTCACGTCACTTTTATATTGTTGCTCTTTTGTTAGTTTTGACTGTTTTTATTGTCCTCATTTGTAAGTCGCTTTGGATAAGCGTAAAAGCGTCTGCTAAATGACTAAATGTAAATGTAGATTAGTTCAAAGGAAAAATCTTAATTACTACATAATATATAACATGTTTATATTGCAATATAATTATTATCTTAATTTAGATTTAGTATAAATAAGAGAAATATAGAATGAAGCAGAATATTATATGGAAATATAGATGAATTAAATGAAGAAATGCCTCTTCTCTGTTGTCACGTTGTTTCTCCATCACTAGGAGGAATGTACAGCGCTCTCTCCCACCTTCAATACCACGACTGAGGTGCCCTTGAGCAAGCACCATAAATGGCTGCCCACTGCTCCGGCTGTGTGTTCACGGTGTGTGTGTGTTCACTGCTGTGTGTGTGCACTTTGGATGGGATAAATGCAGAGCACTAATTCCGAGTATGGGTCACAAAAATGTCACGTCACTTTTATATTGTTGCTCTTTTGTTAGTTTTGACTGCTTTTATTGTCCTCATTTGTAAGTCGCTTTGGATAAAAGCGTCTGCTAAATGACTAAATGTAAATGTAGATTAGTTCAAAGGAAAAATCTTAATTACTACATAATATATAACATGTTTATATTGCAATATAATTATTATCTTAATTTAGATTTAGTATAAATAAGAGAAATATAGAATGAAGCAGAATATTATATGGAAATATAGATGAATTAAATGAAGAAATGCCTCTTCTCTGTTGTCACGTTGTTTCTCCATCACTAGGAGAACATGCAGAACTCCTCTGGCTGGACATGACAAGCCTCCACTCTGACCGCTGACCTGAACATATCACACAAGACATTTTCTTTTTCTTTCTGCTTCTCTTTTCTGTCTCATTCATGAGCTTCTGAGACAGCAGAAGGTCTTGTTCACCTGTATAATGGCTCTCTTTGTCTCATCCAGGCTGGCGGTGATGAGGAAGACGCTCTTATAGAGGGAACAGACCACGTCCACGCCGACATCATCATCCTCATGTACACCCATCGACTCACAGACCAAATGCAAACACTCTTCCATCCTATAAAAGACAAGGCACTTTGTGTAAGCTCGATTTCATTGTCCTAAATGCTTTAAAATGAAATAATTATATAAAAATGTATATACATATATACACTACACACACAGTCAACATAATGAAATGAGCTCTTGTCGTACTTCAATCAAATTCAAACATAACAGATAGTTCTACCTAAAGAGAAAGTGTCTCACCTGTTCACTGAGGTTATCTTCATGAATGATGCATGATTACAACAAAGCCACGTCTGTTGCTGAGGAAACCATTAGAGTCAGATTACAGAAGAAGACCTTCAGTAGTGTTGCCAACTCATCTTCAGGGGAAGTTGCTAAAGGAAGGTTGACTTGTTGCTAAAAGTTGCTAAATGAGGTTGCAATGTCATTGCGGAATCACAATGCAAAATTGTGTCACTGCATCAAATCTCAGGAAAAAAATAACATTTATATATGTTAATTTAGATGTGTTTATAAAATAATATAAATATATAAATAACTAATATTAAATACAACATTGAATTATTTAACACTTTCACATTTTTGAAGGATTACAATTTAAGTTTATTTTTATTAGCTAGTAAACTACACATTCTGAACAATTATAGTTTTAAGCAGTGTATTAGTACACTCTAAAAAATTCTGGGTTGTTTCAACCCAATGTTGGGTCAAATATGGACTAACCCAACTGTTGGGTTAAAAAGCTCATTTAAAAATTTAACCAAAATTTAACCCAACAGTTGGGTTAGTCCATATTTGACCCAACATTGGGTTGAAACAACCCAGCATTTTTTA